GCAGACTAATCAATAGGGAATGTATTTTATTTTTTTTTTTGAAGGGAAGGGGTCAAGGCAACTGGAACTGTTACTTGTAGAGGCAGCAAATGGAGTAACCCCTGCTATTCAGGGCCTGAATATATGTTCAGGGGTAATTACCCCTAGAATTCTAGGGAGGGGTATTTCCCCCAGGATTCTAGGGGGGGGGGTATTTACCCCCAGGATTCTAGGGGGGGGAGTAAATAACCCCAATAACCCCCCTTATATCCGCCACTGTAAAGCAGTCAATTCATGATGGTAAAATTAGTGTTTTTCAACGCTTAACAAGTATGCAAAGAATTAGTTGTTTTAAGGGACTGTTAAATTTTTTGGATATGAAACAGTTTTTTCAATTTTTAAATAAGGCTTATGACTTAAGCCTTACCCCTCAAGGACGTCCCTGAAGGCTTGAATTAAAGTTTTTGGTTGTAAAGTTGGAATTTTGATTCGAACAAATACGATTTTTATAAAAACTTCCAAAAGTAGAGCTGAGCTTTGCCACAAACTCTGATTTTCTGATCCATTTCTTTGCAACTCAATGTTGTAGACCAAAGATATTTTTTGAACAAACAACGTTTTTTTAAAACTGTTTTTGTCTTTTTAACCTTAGTCACAGTTTTAACTTTAAAAAATCCACTACACTCTGGAGGGGTTCTTCAAAACGTTAATCATAGAATGACACTTTTAAAACTTGCTTCCCCTGAATTTATAAAAAAAACACATTTTCAAAATTGCGTAATCTACAATATATGCATGTTTATAAACAATTTTTATATAAATGCCACAGCAACTTTTAAATTAAGAAATTTTATTTCATTTTTTAATTTTTAAATATCTATTTCATATTAACATATATATTTTTACACATAACTGATATTTATTGAGTCTAAAGATATTGCTATACAACTCTGACCAATGGAGGGGTCAGCGCATTGAATTAAAACATATTTACAAGTTTTAGAATACTATACGAACGATTTTTATATTTATTACATATAACAACAAAATTTTAATAATAATATTCTATTTGATCTTCTTAAATTCCTAAAAGTATTCAAACTTTCTTTGTTGTACTCTATACTTTTTAAAAGATGTATAGTGTGTTTTTATTCAATTTGTGCAACAATGTTCCATGAAATATAGAACCAATCCATTTAAATAATACAGTGAGTGGTAAACAAGGTAGAGGACGATTTTACATGATTTAGTGACTTTAATATACAAGGTTACCCACAAAGGATGAGATTTCAGAGACGATTGTACGGAATTTATACCGTCTGTTTCATGATTCCTGTAAACTGATTTCTTTTATCGCTAAATTATTAAATTAGCCATCAAAGACGTTATTCAAGGAAGAAGACATATATTTATCGTGATATCGTCTTATTTAAAGAGTTTCAGGTCGTCTTTACAATTAAAGTAAGTTATTCCCATATAAACTCCACGTTAACAAAAATTAGACATTAGAAATATGTTCTGATGTGGAAGCTGGTGCATAAATTAGATTTTTTTGGCAGTCAATCAAAATGCAATTATAGCATGCATCCAAATTGTCTGCGTCTGCTCTTCTTCTCTTGAATATGGTCTTCCATCTATTTCTTTGTTTTGGCCAGATACATATTCCACACCAGAGCAACCATATTTCCGAACAGAACTCTGTAATAATGTTTTCAGGAGTACAGGGTGTGTCAGGTTCAAGAACAGCTTTATCAAAGGGTGTACCAGATTAAAGAACAGTGCAGTAAATAACTATATTAAAGGATGTACTAGATTAAAGAACAGTGCAGTAGATAACTATGTTAAAGGATGTACTAGATTAAAGAACAGTGCAGTATATAACAATATTAAAGGCCATGTACTAGATTAAAGAACAGTGCAGTGTATAGATATGTTAAAGGGTGTACCAGATTAAAGAACAGTGCTGCAGTGTATAACTATATTAAAGGGTGTACTAGATTAAAGAACATTGCAGTGTATAACTATATTAAAGGGTGTACTAATTAAAGAACAGTGCAGTGTATAACTATATTAAAGGATGTACTTGATTAAAGAACAGTGCAGTGTATAGATATATTAAAGGGTGTACCAGATTAAAGAACAGTGCAGTGTATAGCTCTATTACAGGATGTGTCAGAGGAAAAGAACAGTGCAGTGTATAACTATATTAAAGGATGTACTTGATTAAAGAACAGCGCAGTGTATAGATATATTAAAGGGTGTACCAGATTAAAGAACAGTGCTGCAGTGTATAGTTATATTAAAGGGTGTACCAGATTAAAGAATAGTGCATTGTATAGCTATATTAAAGGGTGTACCAGATTAAAGAACAGTGCAGTGTATAGTTATATTAAAGGGTGTACCAGATTAAAGAATAGTGAAGTGTATAGCTTTATAAAAGGGTGTGTATATTTAATGAATATATTAAAGGGCTATATTGAAGGGTGTGTCAGATTAAATAACAGTGCAGTCTATACCTATATTACAGGGTGTGTCAGATAAAAGAACAGTGCAGTATTCAGCTATATTAAATTGTGTGTTAGACAAAAGAACAGTGCAGTGTATAGATATATTAAATGGTGTGTTAGATAAAAGAACAGCGCAGTAAATATATTAAATGATGGGTTAGATAAAGGAACAGTATAACAATGTATAACTATATTACAGGGTGTGTCAGAGGAAAAGAACAGCGCAGTGTACAGCTATATTAAAGGGTGTACCAGATTAAAGAATAGTGCAGTGTACAGCTATATTAAAGGGTGTACCAGATTAAAGAACAGTGCAGTGTATAGCTATATTAAAGGGTGTACCAGGTTAAAGAACAGCGCAGTGTACAGCTATATTAAAGGGTGTACCAGATTAAAGAACTGTTTATAGTGTGGATCAGGTTAAAGGCTATTCTGTGCTAAACTGAACTATATACGGAGATAACCAGAAAACTCTGGAATAGTAAAACGACCTTTTAGACTTAATTGGTATAAGTTTTAAAAGTCCAATGAGCATGAGACACAGCACCATGCATAGTAGTGATTTAATAGGCGTATAACAATAATGATAATCTGGTTATCACTGTACCATTGCATCAAGTGATCTACCTGACAGCTGTACACTTACTACTGGTAATGCTTACTAGTAAATGACAGAAGGAAATTATGTCCTACAGTATAATAATCATATATGCGGTGTAAGGCAGAATCGGTGTAATTCTATTTCATTAGTAATGGATTAGCTTATATTATTAGCACTTTATACACTTCTAGCTGAAGGGCCCGGCTTTGCCCATGGAAAAATTATTTTGAATTTGAAAAAATAGATTTTGAAAAAAATAGCTTTTTGAAGAAAAAATGTCGACATTTTTGAAGTCGGGTTCTCTCAACAAATTTTAGCCCATTCGGTCCAGCCGTTTGGTCAGCTAAAAATAGCATACAAAAAAATATATATGAGCGGAGAGTTTTATATATATATTTATATATTTATTATATAGATAACCTCGTAGCATTTCTGTGTATAGTGTATATACCTGTACTGGACTGGGACGAGTCCAATATTGATAATCTGTGGTAAAGTCCATATTTTCCAGTTTCCCACTAGACAGGTCCAGTATCTGGACTCCAAGTTCTAAACAACACTAACTTTCATAAAACTTATCGTGATGTATTCAATTCACCTCCCCAACAAATTTTCTATAAAGAGGTCCGTTGTGTACATCTGAGGGGATTATTGGATACCAATTAACTCTAAGCTATTTTATAGTTTCTCTTATCCCTGAGAATTGTGATGATTTTACTTGACTAATATTTTTACATACAACATTTCTCACATGTACCTCCACAGCTTGGGTGTGTGATTCCCTATGGAACCTGGATAAACAGTAAAGGGTTAACATGTACCTACCTACCTCCACAGCTTTAGAGTGTGACTCCCTATGGAGCCTGGATAAGCAGTAAACGGTTAACATGTACCTACCTCCACAGCTTTAGAGTGTGACTCCCTATGGAGCCTGGATAAACAGTGATGGGTTAACATGTACCTACCTCCACAGCTTTAGAGTGTGACTCCCTATGGAGCCTAGATAAACAGTGATGGGTTAACATGTGCCTACCTCCACAGCTTTAGTGTGTGACTCCCTATGGAGCCTAGATAAACAGTAAAGGGTTAACATGTACCTACCTCCACAGCTTTTGAGTGTGACTCCCTATGGAGCCTAGATAAACAGTAAAGGGTTAACATGTGTGTGACTCCCTATGGAGCCTAGATAAACAGTAAAGGGTTAACATGTACCTACCTCCACAGCTTTAGAATGTGACTCCCTATGGAGCCTGGATAAACAGTAAAGAGTTAACATGCACCTACCTCCACAGCTTTAGAGCGTGACTCCCTATGAAGCCTGGATAAACAGTAAAGGGTTAACATGTACCTACCTCCACAGCTTTAGAGTGTGATTCCCTGTGGAGCCTAGATAAACAGTAAAGGGTTAACACCAAGAAACCAGGGGAGAATATTAACCTGTCCGTCAGCAACCTGAAAATAATAATAATTAGTATTGAATTTAGAAATGCAGTGAAACGAGCTTATAAACCCTGCTTTGCCTGGAGTTTTCCCATAAAATTCAACCCAATCATCTTGGAATTTTTCCCGTGGTTCTTCCAAGTTTCCCATTCAAAATCGGAGCCTAATCGGTTAAGAGGTTTGTGTTTTATGATCGGACATACAAACATCCTAGAAGAAATTACAAACTACAACTATATATAGGAAATAGATAGATAAACAGAAAAAATTAAGGATAACTGTTCCAACTCTGAAAATGAACACTTAAATTTTTATTTATTATCATATATCAATCAATATAATACAAACTCGTCGCCCATGTTTATAACTTAAGGGTTTAGGGAAGACGACTTTTATTCTGATTTAAAGTATGGTTTAATATATAATTAAAATAAATAATATTTGACCTGAGTAAATATTTGAGGAGTCCAGGGCCTGGTATCAGTTTATCCAACAGGGTGTAGAAATAGTGAGTTACAGGACCAGTCACTGTAAAGAAACATTTGATTAAATATAGTTCTTATATGATTTTGGAACAAACATATGTTTTGTTTTCTATCCATATTTAAACGGAAGTGTTCATTAATTCCAGCATGAACTACGTCCACGTTAAACTCTGCAAATCAATTTTCAGATTTTACGGAATTAATTTAATTTTGTTCCTTAATTTTAAATCCGGGCTTGGGAAAAATTCCATTGAAACAGTTTATGCATTAAAAGAATATTTTGTAAAAAATGAATCATACCTAGGCCGCCAAAGATTACAAAAGCTCTCAAAGATTCCATAGACAAAGGACTACCAGACAATAGCTAAAAAAAAACATAAAAAGAGCATGCAATGGTTTATCGAAATAATCCTTGAACTGTAGGATAAAACTGAGATAAGAAAATACGACATTTAAGGAAACTCCTATTGTTGAACCAACCTACAGGGTGTCCCAAAAAACATGGGAATTCAGTGACGAATTCGATATCGTCTTTT